CGTGGAAAAGTTTATTAATGGAGTGCATTGACAAGCACGCACCATCTCGCTCCAAAAAAGCAGGCAAAAAAAAATCGCCGTGGATAACAAGCCAATTGTTACGACATATGCATAAACGAGATTATCTGAAGCGGAAAGCAACATTGGCCGATGATCAAACTTTATGGGAAGAATATAGGGTTGCTCGAAATCGTACCAATAACGAAATTAGAAAAGCAAAGCAAGAGTATTTTATAACGAATTTGGAAATAAGTATCGCGTAATTGTAATAAGTCAAGTAACATTAACGAGATTAAAGTAGACGGAAAAACAATAATTACACCTGCAAATATAGCTGAAGCTTTTAACAATCACTTCTCAAATATTGGTGAGAATCTAGCCTCAGAGATACCCATTTCTAACGTCAACCCTGAAGACTATTTAGAATCAACTGAGCAGAGATTTTCCATTGGACCTCCTACGGTTGATATGGTTTATATTCTGTTGAGTACAATTAACGAACGAAAAGTTCCAGGTCTCGACAACATTCCTAATAAGCTGTTAAAAATAGCAGCAGCAATAATCTCACCATCATTAACTGATATATTTGCCAGATCAATTAACACTGGCATATTTCCATCCGAGTGGAAAATGGCTAGAGTAACACCAATATTTAAGAAAGGAAAAAGGAATGATCCGATAACTATCGACCAATATCAGTTATTTCAGCTGTAGCCAAAATCTTCGAAAAATCAATCTTTGAGCAACTTTATAATTACTTCAGTTCTAACAGCTTGTTAACGCATTGCCAGTCCGGTTTCAGGTCGTTACATAGTACACTTACTGCTCTTCTTGAAGCCACTAGTAACTGGTCAGTTAATATTGACAATGGCCTCTTCAATGGAGTAATATTTATCGACCTTAAAAAAGCATTCGATACTATTGATCATCAGATATTGCTGCGGAAGCTTCGAATTTACGGTATGGATCAATTAAGTCTCGAATGGTTTCAGTCTTATTTGACCGGTCGATCTCAGAAATGTAATGTTAGAGGTTGCTTGTCATCATCTGCATCAGTTACACGTGGTGTACCACAGGGAAGTAACTTAGGACCATTACTCTTCCTTGTGTATATTAACGACCTTCCTAATTGTCTCAGTGCAGCAGTACCGAGAATGTTTGCTGATGATACGAACATTAGTTATGCGGCCAACACTATCGCCAAACTAGAAAATGTTATTAATTCGGAATTAAAAAAATTGAAAAGCTGGTTGGAAGCGAACAAATTAAGCCTTAATATCGCCAAGACAGAATTTATGATAATAGGATCTCGACAACGTATGCATGCGCACACTTACGAAAATATCAATATTGACCTGGATGGTCATGTGATTAAACAAGTTGATGAGGCAAAATCACTAGGTGTAATTATTGATAAAAATCTGTCTTGGTCTAAACACATTGATATGAAGTGTAAAAAGATTTCGTCCGCTATAGGTGCTCTTAAGCGAATAAAACCATTTATATCAACTGAAACAGCAATCCAAATTTACAACGCTATAATTCAACCTCACTTTGATTACTGTAGTCCCATTTGGGACGAATTTGGCGCAACATTATGTGAAAAAATGGAAAAATTGCAGAATAGAGCTGCTAGAGTGATTACGAAATCCAACTACGATGTCAGCTCTAGCATTCTCTTAGAGAAACTGCATTGGGACAATCTTTCCTTACGTAGGAAAAAGCACAAGTCTATACTAATGTTTAAAACTATCAATAAGCTAACGCCAGAGTATTTACAAAACATGTTTACATTTCGCAGCACAGATTATAACTTAAGAAATGCAGAAATGAAGCTAAATTTACCAAAACCACGTACGGACTTTATGAAGCGTAGTTTCTGCTACAGTGGAGCAAGTTTATGGAATGCGCTTCCTCAAACTGCACGTACGTCCAAATCATTGAGGCATTTCAAAAATGAAATTAATCAATTCTTGACATTATAATGGGATCCCCACACGGCAATCTTGGAAAACAGTGCATTTTAGTTAGGAAATTAGTGTGTATATAGTGATGTGTGAAATTTATTAATAGTTTTTGTATTTTATTCTACACTGAAGATTTTACCGTGTTTAAATAAATGTTCAATGTTCAATGTTCAATGTTATTTCAGGCTCTGTGGAAAAGAAAGTACTCGATACGTCGAGTACCTCGAAAAGTACTCGACACCACAAAGATCGAGAAAGTATAATATAAGGAGAATATTAGACGGTTGCGAAAATATATGGATTTATGTTCTCGTGTCGCAACCGTTTAATGTTATGTTTATTATATGCATGACTTATTCAGAGTGACAAAAATACACGCAAAGACGACATGTAAATAATGCGCCGATCAATTTTTACTGTTAACATCCCCCCTGGGCATTTAACACCTTGCTCTATCCCCAGAGTGGGGGAATTTAATTTTTTGAAATGCTGTTATAGGGTAGGGCATTTGATCGCTGAGTCACAAGACATGGGGCATTTGACCATTTAATACACCATATTGCGCGAGGTCTAAGACTATATGATGAGAATTTAAAAAATTTTAAAATTTTGTTTTAAAACTTTTTTTAAAACAAAATTCAAAATAGAGTATACTTCAAATACTTTTTGGAAGCTTTATAAAGCATGAGGTGTAAGTTGTTTAATACTACTATACGTTTAATAGGAGTCTCATTTATTAAACTGTTGAAGTTATACAGGTGCATGTACTACAGATTACCGCAAAAATTTACATGTTCAATATCTTTTGTCTAATGTATATAATATGCATGACAATCAATTTTCCGTTATGTGGGGCATTTGAATAGCATTTTTGTCCTGGGAGTGGAAAATTGGACCACAAAACTTCAAAAAGTTCAAATGCCCAGGGGTATGCCTGGGGAGGATGTTAACAGTATAAATTGATTGGCGCATAAGCACGCGAAAGACCAGTATAAAAATGATAATTTTTTTAACTTATAGTGCGGACTAAAACTAGAATAAATTTTACATATCTAAAGATGTCTTTTAAATGTTTTTGTTTTATTTCCAACGTCAACTTCGTTTTATATAAATCATTTGTATTTTCAAAACAACAACAATGAAAATGGCGGAAAATTGTCACTCGCAAGGGTGAAATGCGGAAAATACGCGCATCTCGTCCCAGATATAGTGACGCATGTATCTACGAGTGTTTTAGTTTCCAGTAAAACACCATTGTCCATATAATAAAGTATAGTATAGGTTTGTTCTTTGTTCACTGAATCTTCACTACCGATAAGGGATGTTTATGTATCACTATGATACTGTGTTTATGTATGTTGACCCTGTCACCTGATGCCATGACACTTGCATGTGGACTGTTTGGGAGAGTTAATAAATAAATAAATAAAAATAAATACCCGAAGTTCACCCACGCCAGCGCCGTACATGTGGTAAAAAAAGTGGAGACAGGATTTGGCTTTTGTTGTCGATGGCGAAATCAATCGAGCTTTGTTGTTCGGTTTCCTTTGCGAGGCTTCGATGTATAAATACCAACCGGATGCTGAAAGGAGAAACGTGATGTTGGTTAAGCATGAAAAGCTGAAAAAAGTAAATTTAAGGAAGGCTGCAGGAAAGTGAAGCTAAGTACATAGTGTTTAAAGCCTCTTTTCCATTCATCGCAACAGTCAACTCACAAGCTCGCTGCGAGCGCGCTTTCAACCAATCACAATGCTCGAATTATTTTAATTAGATTCAAACACTCGCAGCGAGATTGCAAGTTGATTTTTGCGACGAGTGGAAGGAAAAGACCCTTAAGGGAGTTCCTTATTTATGGGGAAGGGGGCATGGCACCAAAGAGAAAAGGGTTGGGTAAACAAAATTTTGAGTGAGTAAAAGGCTGGGCAATTAAAAATTATTTTCATCTCCAAAGCATGAAGACTCAAATATTGAAGACGGGGGGTGGGGGTGAGGACATCATTTTACCAGCTAAATTGTGAACCCCTGGAATTCAGTTTATATACCCCCTTCGCCGGAATTTCCTAGGAATTCATTGCCAGATGCAAAATGGCTTTAATCGCGGACCATCCTCTGAATTTTGGTCTCTAATCACCCCACTCCCTGGACGTCTGCATGCGGTCTTTTTCACCCCTCCCCCTGGATTTTTTAAGGCCTTTTTTACACCCCCCTGGATTTCCAGTGTCCTCAAACCCCCTCCCCCTATGCGGATAATAAATGCAATCTGCCAATACAATATGGAAATCAATTAGAGTCACTATCTTGATCATTTTCCGATTTGTCTCCCAAGAAAGTACATGTGCAGAAAACATGAAACTTTAGATTGCAGAAAATTGCACAAGCAGTTATCAAACTCATGTCACAGAAATGGTAAAAGCATACTAAAGGGCATGTGTGACAACTAAATGGTACCCTGCTGTAACGTTTTTGGCCAGGGGTGGGTATTTATCTTTTAAATGATATTTGAGGTTGAGTAAACATTTTTTGACTTTTTAATGGTTGGATCGGCAAAATTTTTAACCCCCGCTATAAATAATGACTGGTCCAGTGGAGCCGTGGCCGGGGCATGCCCCCTCCCCAATTGTTGAGACCCGTCGAAAATTGGTAATGTTGCCGGAATCTTCGTGGTCAAGCAGGGCCGCCAACTGCTAATTCGGAAGTCTGCGGGGAAGGGGGGTGTAGGGGAGGGAGAGAGAGATCAATTAAAATGTTATTGTCCGGAAAAATACTGACTTTGCCCCCTCTAATACATGGGACCCACGGCGCCACTGGACTGGTATATACCTTTCTGTACGACAAATATCAGAAAATTTTCAGCTATCTTTCAAGCTCTTAATTTTTTTAATACTCTGATGGTATAAATAAAGTTAGTATAGTTTATAGGTTTCTTCCTGTAGTAACAATGGGTAAATAAGGAATAACCCTTACTGGAACTCGAGGAAGAACAGTTTAAAATTGATACAGTTCTTTGGCATGCAAATGGCATACAGTTTGCCATCACCTTTTACTTTTCCCATGACAATTCACGTGAGATAGTCCAGTTATATAAAGCACTGAGAGATACGTACTGGGCACAAACTCGAAGACGTTTTGTGGTTGATCACAGATTGAGTCAAGCACGAGCTTTATATAAATTCCTTGCGCCCCTCTAGGCTGAAGACACATTTTCTTTTTGTACTGCAATGATCCTTGGGCAGTCCAACTCCACGTGTCTGTCGCATCACAGCTGCTGAAAATACCCACCTTGAAAAAAAGAGGCAGATAAATATGTAGTTAGGTAGGTTAGGTTAGGTTAGGTTAGGTTAGGTTAGGTTAGGTTAGGTTAGGTTAGGTTGGGTTAGGTTAGGTTAGGTTAGGATAGGTTAGGTTAGGTTAGGTTAGGTTAGGTTAGGTAAGGTTAGGTTGGTAGGGTATCCAGTGAAAATAAAGCCAGTAGAGATTAACACATTGAAACAAGAAATATATCTCAAAACTAGTTTACCAACCTTCACTCCATCAGTCACCGGGCCAGTAGGCTTCACGCACATGCTATATTTATTAGTAAGCATCAGTGTCCCATTCGGCCAAAGTCGGAACTCCTGCCAGTCATGTCCACATCCTTGGTATGTCACAAGGGATTCTCCCTCTTTTGGTTTTTTGTTGTAAGAGCCCAATAAGTAATGAATACACTTGCCTCCGCTATGTCGTATGAAGCCGGGACCTTGCTTCTTGTTTACAGGGTCTATAGAATAAAAAATATGAAATTTGAGGACTTCAAATGAGCGATGTTATCTCAAAACTTACCTTTAGCTAAATTTGTCTGTATGATAGAAATTTTATACTAGTAGCCATGACGGTGTGTGTTATGTTGGTGAAAGTAAGAGTTCGTTATGGTTATGATGGTTACGATGATGGTGATGAAAACAATGGTGGAGGTGATGGTGGTGTTCATGATAATTATAACAATCCAGTCAATCCTTCAATTGCATGGACAACTACCGCATATGAAATATTCTGCAATTTGATTGGCTCTCTACTGGCAAGAGATTAGCTCATATCCACCCAGTAGAAAAAAAAAGAAAGATGGTGGCTCAAAAATCACCAGTTAATCGCTTTTTATAGCATCAACAGGAAAAGAACACATATTTTTCTAACCACTGTGTAAAAAACCATAAAAATGTTACGTGTGACAAGTTCTTAGCCTGCGCATGTGCGGAATATTGTAGTTAAAGGCATACGAAAGAGCCGTTAGTTTATGAAAGTTTGTAGTTGAAGGCATACTCTTTTTCGTTTGCACATATAATTAAATCAGGTCGATATCGTCAGTTTACTTCGGTGGTTCATATATTTGGTTCAGTGCATGCTATGTGGATAAAAATACTACCATCCGATTCAGTGAAACAATCCTATTGATGGTTTTAGTAAAATGTAAACATTATAGCGATGTACGATCTTTGGAGGTGAAGCGATACCATATTTCACACAATTTTCCCGAACAAATATGCAAACAATTTATTACCAAGGCATGCCTTTTGCCGATAACTTCGGCCTCTTTCAACATATCTTTATCGAATAGTCTTGTTCGCATCACAATCAAAGACACTATTTAGAGTGTTATTTTCAAGCTTGTATCTACAAATTTGCATCTTCTATTTCGATATTTCAGAATGTTTCGCATCTACGCCAACCGGGGAGACGCTACTTTGTTTGAAGCAAATCACATTGAAATACCCAAATCTGTTTTCTCTTTCTGCACTAATACTTTATTTTGTAAATAGTCAACTATATAAATCAAGCAAAATTACAGCTATTACAACCACTCAGATATACTGATAATTGAAGGTTGCAGCAAGACTGACTTACAATTCGTGAGGCATAATCTGAGTATCCTTGCCTTTTCCTAAGTTATTATTTTTAAGTTTTTTGTTCACTGTATTTAACATAACAAGTTCGCTTTTTTAGTTTCTTTCTTTCCAATTCCGCGAAGCTTCCTCGCCGTTTCACTTCCTGCGTCCCACTCCCCTCTCAACACCGGCGATCGCAATATCTTAACACTCTCCCCCAGTGCGGAAATTAAATCTCTAATTGAGCAACGTCTAACACAATATACTGAAAATACTTTAGGAATGCAAAGAATCCATTGTCACTACAATCATTCTGTTCTAGTTATACTAGTCTGCATCAAGTTCTTCTCTGGTGGCTATAAGACACAGCTTGTGGATGGGTCTGTCATATTCTCCTGTTTGCGTCTTCATTCTTACTTTTCTCACAAGGCCGTCGCTTCCGGGATGAACTTCGGTGATAAGTGCCATCTTCCATTGGCATCTTTTATGTTTTGGATCAAGCTCCAGAACCAGGTCCCCTACTTGAACGTTGTCTCTTTTTCGGAACCACTTGTTGCGGGGTAATAGATTGGGTGCAAAATACTTCAACCAGCATTTCCAGAAATCGACGCTTCTGTTTTGTGTGCATCGTAAAGATCTCTTGGGTTGATTCTATCTTCCGGGGTTGGCTGAGGTGGTGAATTATGCTGCCCAAGAAGGATATCATTCGGTGTTACTGGTGGACTCTCCCAAACGCCATCCGAACTGGGATACAAAGGGCGACTATTGATCACGTAGCTGATTTCTGCGAGGAATGTTGACCACTGTTCTGCCGTAAACGCTTGACTCTTGCAGGTAACATTGAAGGCTTGTCGGACGGACTTAATAAGAGA